AGGTCAGCAGTTCAAACCCACCAGCTGCTCCAAGGGGAGAAATGTGGCATTCGGTTTCCGTAAACATTTATTCTATCCTATAGGACTCCTGGTATGGCGCTGTGGGTTAATGCACTGGACTGCGAGGTTGGCTTGAACCACAAGGTCGGTGGTTCAAGCTCACCAGCTGCTCTTCAGAAACCCTATGCAGGGTCCCTATGGGTCGGAACCAACTCGATGGCACTTCACAACAACAACATAGGGTCCTGTGAGTTAGACTCGACTTGAGGACTGTGGGTTTGGGTTTGGATTGGTAGGGAGTACAAAACTGATCAGAGTAAAGGCAGTCAACAAGAAATGATAAAAAAGAGTAACTAAACTTTTTCATACATGTGTCTGTTTATTCAGTTAAAAAAAAAAAAATTCTCAAAACTAACGTTAACACATATTCTCCTTGACTCTTTATCAATGTCCCAGTCTGTGTTAATTTCTCTGGATCTTAAAACCCAAAGTTTATTATGTTTTCCTTACACTTGATATCTTTATTAGCAGGAACATTTGACTCAAGTTCCCTTTGGTACCAAAAGTGTCCATAATCCAGACGACTCTATTTTTCATGCTCACTGCTACGGTAATTTCTTCAACACGCCAGAGGGCAGAGCAGCTATGCAAGAATCAGCCCTGGGTCCCTGCTTTAACTTTTCCAACATCACTCCCTAGGCCCACTTAGATCACGAACTCCTTTTAAAAACTATATTAGTAATTAAAATTTTTATAAACATACATTCGTCTATGTTAGCTGGAGTTACTTTTATAGAGACAGATATTGATGCTTTCTACCCTGCCTCTGGTAGCTTAGTGGTTACGAATCAGGCTGTGATCCGCAAGGTCAGCAGTTCGAAACTACCAGCCGTTCCGTGGGAGAAAGATGAAGCTTTCTGCTCCCGTAAAGATTGACAGCTTTGGAAACCCTTGTTACAGAGTCGGAACCGACTCCACGGCACATAGCAACAACAACCCTGCCTCTTATATATACAGGGAAGGCTGCCTTCCACATGAAAAACCTCACTGTGCGCAGAAGCTTTGGGCCACCAGTTCCCCCGGGTAGCTGGCACTGCCCTTGTGTTCCTAGTCCACTCTTCATCCTCTTTTTTTTTCTCCCCCATATATGTATAATTCCTTCTTTTCTGTGAAATTACACACATAAACCAAAAGCCCATTGCTGTCAAGTTGATTCCAATTCTTAGTGGCAGAGTAGAATTGAGACTGAGACCTAAGACAGTAGTGGAAACCACAGGTTCATAGTTCAAGGCCACCAGCCGTTCCACAGGAGAAAGATGAAGCTTCCTGCTCCCACAAAGATTTACAGCCTCAGAAACCCTATACAGGGTCACTTTGAGTTGAAATCACCTCAAAGGCACTTGATAATCTTTACTGAGCAAACAACTGCTGCCTTTCTTTCATAGCATCCCTGAGTAGGTTCAAACTGCCAAAAATTATGGTAATTTTTGTTAACTGCTGTCAAATCAATCCTGACTCATAGACACCATGTATAGAGTTTCCAAGGAGTAGCTGGAGGGTTTGAACCATTGATCCTGAGGTGGTGTTATTGTTATGTGCTGTAGAATTGGTTCCGACTCATAGCGACCCTGAACTGGGTATCCAAAGCTGTAAATCTTCACGGGAGCAGAAAGCCTCATCTTTCTCCTGCGGAACAGCTGGTAGTTTCGAACTGCTGACCTTGGGGTTCACAGCCCGGTTCGTGACCACTACGCTACCAGAGCTCCTTGATCTTGAGGTTAGCAGTCCAGTAATTACATTATTGTGCCACCCCAGAGCTTATATTAAACAATGTTGCTGCTAAGTGCTGAGTTGGTCCCTACTCATAGCAACCTTGTATAGGGTTTCTGAGGAGCCGCACAGCTGATAGGTTTGAACTGCTGACCTTGTGGTTAGCAGTGTAGTGCTTATCCTACAGTGCCACGGCAGAACTCTCTCAGTGATGAAAATTTGGGGAAATGGATTGTAGTGATGGTTATACAGTGTGATGAACGTAATTAATGACACATGTAAAAGTTGAAACAGCAAATGTTTTACACACTCCCACACACATACACATTTCCCACAATAAAAATGTTTCATTATTAAACTGATAAGCATTTATATATACCTCGTGGATTGGAATATGAAGAAGTTCAAAGTTTCCAGAAGGCACTCTGGTAGCGTAGAGGTTACAATTCAGGCTGCTAACCTCAAGGTCAGCAGTTCAAAACTACCAGACGTTCTGCAAAAGAAAAAGGCTTTCTGCTTCCGTAAAGAATTTACAGCCTCAGAAACCCTCTGTAGGGTCGCTGTGGGTTGGAACCAACTCCACGGCCCAACATCACCACCAGCACCACCACCAGCAGAAAACAGTTGGGCATCATTCAAAGAACATTCAGGTGTCTCTGCCCCTTGACATAGTAACAGGATTTGATACCAAAAACACCTGAAAAAGGAACACAGCTTTACATACAATGGTGCTCATCACAGCCGGAACACAACCGAGTTCAGTTGTCCAAAAAAGCAAGGAAAACATTAGTGGATTTTTCTTTTGTATTTCCCAAGATGTCTCAAATGACATAGTATTACTTTTACAACCTTAATAATTTTTTTTTTTTTTAAAGTCATGAAAGCATTTCTCAACAATCAAGTAAAAGTTTTGCCCTGGTGTATACGCTGGACTGTAAGGTTGGTTTGAACCACAAGAATGGTGGTTCAGGTTCACTGGCCACTCCTTGGAAACCCTATACAGGGTCATTATGAGTCGGAACCAACTCAATAACACTTAACAACAACAGAGGAAAACAGTCATTGAAACAGATCTCACTTCCTGAACCTAGACACAATTTGGGTACCCAAACATGTCTCCGTGATTTCAGAAACCAAATCCATTGCTTTCAAGTCGTTTCCTACTCATAGCAATGCCATATGAGCTTACCGAGGTCGTACAACTTTATAGGAGCAGAAATTGCAGCGGCTGGTAACTCAGCCCACTGCAGTCCAGTGCATATCCACAGAGCCACCAGGGATAAGAAGCACCTGAAAAAAACAAGTCAAACCCATTTTCATTGAGTCAAAATTTGGGTTCACAGAGACCCCATGTGATGGCGTGGAACTACCTGCATAGCGTTTCTTGGGCCATAATAGAGCTCAGTAGAGCATTTGACTGCAGACCGAGAGGTCCCAGGTTCAAATCCAGGTGCTTCCTGGCTTGCCTTTTGGAGTCATGATATTGGTGCTGTGGAATAATGCACTGGTCCGCAAGGTCGGTTTGAACCTCAAAGTCAGCAGTTCAAACCCACGAACTGCTCCTAGGAAACCTTTTATAGGGTCACTGAGTCAGAACCAACTTGGTGACATTAACACCAGATTCCCAGGCCTTTGTCCCTTGGAGTGGCTGGGTGGGTTTCTATCACCAGCCATTCTTTTACCAACCAAGTCCAAACCACTGAGCCCCCTAGGGGCCATGGACCTGGAGGGGCTGAATACATCCGGGGAAGCCCAACATTGCTGTTTTCCACATTTGCTGAGATCGCAGCATCGTGGACAGGACCACCGCTAGTAGAGCATCCGTCCACATCAGAGGATAGCAGAGAAATTTGTCGAGGCTCAGAGTGTCGTCTTGGGGACTTCTGTTTCCCTCACGGATGCATCCCAAGCACTCGGGATGGTGTCTGACATAGCTTGTGCCTTCAGTAAATATTCTCTGAATACATAAATAAATGCAGCTAGAGCTTTTCATGGTGGCAAGGCTTTTGTTTGCCTTTTTGACTATTTTTCATGCCCCCTTGGGCAGCACAAATGGTAAGCACTCAGATGCTGACTTAACACGTTTGGTGGTTTGTGCCCTGATGGTGTAGTGAGTTAGTTAATCGTTGGGCTTCTAACCTCAGGGTAGGTGGTTCAAACCCACCAGCTGTTCCATGGCAGAAAGATGAGGCTTTCTGTTCCCATAAAGTCTTTGTTGTTGATAAGTGCCCTTGAGTCAATTCCCACCCATAACGACCCTGAATAGGGTTTCCCCGGAGCAGTTGGTGAGCTTGAACCACCGACCTTGCAGTTCAAACGGCTTTGCAGTCTGGCACATTAACCCACAGAGCCACACCAGGACTCCCCCATAAAGCCTAGGACACCATTGTCTTTGTTGTTGTTGTTGTTAAGTGCCGTCGAGTCGGTTCCGACCCATAGCGACTCTGTACAGGGTTTCCGAGGGTGTAAATCCTTACGGGAGTAGAAAGCCTCATCTTTCTCCCGCGGAGCAGCTGGTAGTTTCGAACTGCTGACCTTATGGTTCGCAGCCCGATTCGTAATCACTACGCTACCAGGTCCTTGTTATTAAGGGTTGCTGAGTCAGTTCCAACTCACATGTCTATAGGGTTTCTGAGGAGCAGCTGATGGTTTTGAGCCATTGACCTTGTGGTTCAGTGCTTATCCTACAGCACCACTGTCACTATAGGTCTGAACCAAGTCGATGGCAATGTGTTTGGTTTTGTTTAGAGGCACCCAGGAAGAAAGGCCTACTTTAGAATCTACTTTAGAAAAATCGACCACTGAAGACCGTATGGAGTATAATTCCGCTCTGACCCACACGGGGATGTTATGAGTCGGAATTGACTGGATGAAATTGACTGGAGTGTCAGTGATGATCTGAAATCTGTCCCTTGTTCTCAGAGTTACTAAATCTCAGTGTGGGTGCTGAGGACTCTGGAATCTGCTCCTGTCATAGTTCCTGGTCTGGCCCCTCCCTGAGGCATCTTCACACCTGACGTCTGGGGAGCCGGTACTCTGGCCTGAAGTTCCCCCATGATCTTCTTTCAATGCTAAAAATGAAGGAGTAGAGGGGTAAGGGATCAGACCACCCAGTGCATGGACAAGGGCCTGGAGCCCAGCCATCCCTGAAGGGCTGCTGAGCTTGTGGCCGAGACGCTTCACCTCCAGTAGGCAGACTCTGATCTGTGATGTTTTACCTGTTCCCACAGCTCCGCAACAACAAGGCAAAAGACGTCTGCCTGGACCAGGGCCCGTTGGAGAACCACACAGCAATACTGTACCCGTGCCATGGCTGGGGACCGCAGGTAGGAACCCCTCTGTGACCACTGAGGCCTTCGGAGGCCTCTGGAAACTTCTGTTGCCCTCTTTTGGTACTTGTTACTTACTCTCTCTGTTACTTATGCTAGGCTTTTTTATTTTTTAACATTGCCAAATTTTTACTTTATTTTAAACTTTTGAAGGGAGCTTATGGTACAGAGAGGAAAAGTATGACTAATTCCCCATCTTTGGTGCTCACTAGGTACAAAACCAAACATCTGACCCCGGGTCCATCCATTGTTTTAGCAAGTCCCAATTTCCAGTGAAGATCACTGAAGCCCATTACACGCCTACTCCTTATGTAATGAAATCTACAGCGAGTCTATTCACAGTGATCTAGCGAAAGCATAGGCTTAAGACTACAGAGGGGTCCAACTTAACATCTGTGTTTTACAACTGGTAAAACACAAGTAGTCTATGAGAGCTCATCTCAGAAGGAAAGGAGCTGATGGTCAGATATGGGAGGCTAAGTCACTGCTGCTCTCCACGCCACAGCCCTCACCCCTGCAGGCCTAGGCAGACACATTGGGTGGTGGCTGCTCCTTGGCAGTGCCATTCATACATCATAAGGGGATAACCGCCCCATAGCGTCGTTGCTGGTATCATGAACCAGGACATCAGAGGAGTTTCTTCCATCGATGTATCAGTAACAGTTCCACACACAGCTAATCAGGTAACCTTTAGAAGTCAAGATAATGCTGATAAACAGAAGAATAATGACCAGACAGGTAGGATTCACTGACATCATATCATCTCTGTGAGGATAATTTGGAGGCAGTTGTTGTGTGTACTCCTGAATGAATTTTGTATGAATAAGTACAGTGACAGTACAGATCCTCAGGGCAAAATAGAATATCTGGTAACAGAAGAATAGGGTGATTCAGGCAGCTTGTTGCTTGTAGGCGCCCTGAGTAGCCATTGTTCAGATCAGGATCATGAGGAGAGAAATTGCGCTAGCGATGCACATGTTTGGCATCATCCACGAACTCCAAGTCCCCTCCTAGTTCAGAACTGGGAAAGTGATACTGGTCTGGATTAGCCAGGGCACTCGAGAGCATCCACAGTACCATGGCATGGATGATCAGGTTCCAGACGAGCAGGATGGTTCCAGTGTGGACCTGGCCACACAGGCAGCAGCTATTGGGGTAGAACCGCGTCCAGGGCATAACCATCTTCATTGCTCCAGCCTCGGGCCGGTTGTGTGAATGCGCGCCCAAGTTTGCAGGAGTGTCGGTGGCGTAGCTTGGGCCTCCCGGCTTGCTGGCTCCAGTGTAGGCTTCTTCTCTGCTCCTGCTTCTCCCGGACTCACCCACCCACAGATCCTGGCTTCCCGCTTTCCTCGAGAGCTACAGCTGAGAGTCTAACCATCTGTGCTAGGCTTTTGAGACAAAGGTGGAACTGTCTGCTTGTTTTTCTAACGTAGCTAAGGAGATGTTTCCTAAATAGTTACATCAGCACCAATATTAACAGGATCCAAGTGGACTTTGCATACTGAAAGGAAAATATCAAACAACTGCTAAGTCCCAAATATGATGCTATAACACATGCGTGCGCTTTTTATTGTTTTTGTTTTTTTAAGGGTGTGGTTTTATTTTATTGTGTGTGTGTATTTGTGGGCACAGTCCCATTCTCCTCCTCACTCTGTCCAGCTTGCCTGCCGGTATACCACTCATATGTAGATGGTATTAGGACTGGGATGCGGGCTTGTGTATGTTACTGTGCCCACAGCTGTCTCATAGGGCTTCCAGAGCTGGGGCCTTTCAAAAAGATTGCCTTTCTTTCGACCCTCTCTGTGTGGGTTTGAATCACCAACGTTTCAGCTAGTAGTCGAGTGCTTACCCTTTGGCACCACCCAGGTACAAGCAAACCTATGTGCTTACAATGCTAAAGAACTAGTTGGCCAATTGCCCCACGAGAACGGGATGGGCATGTCCGACCTGGCTTTGCTTGTGACTAGCCTTTGACCTTGACCGTAAGTGCAGCTACAAGAGCAGAGAGCTGACACCTAGGCAGACAGTGCTAACATCGGCATTTCACAGAACACACGTGTTCGCCCATTCCTTGGGAGAACACACATGTTCGCCCATTCCTCGGGAGAACACATGAGACAGCTTGAAAAGCGCAGAATGATTATTCCAGAAAGTATGAAGGAGCTTCAGAAAGTTCCAGGAAAAATCCTATTATCTTTTCATTCCATTTTCCACAAACTATTTTGAAGCCTTCTCATACTTTCAGGGATCATTTGAAACTGGAATGAAAACAGAATGAGTCCAGAAAACAGGCTTCCCTTCACAACAACGTTGTGCTAGCCAGCTGTGCGCATTTGTTTGCACGCGTCGCCATGTATGTTGTGCGTGTCAGAGTTTTTTACTGTGGCAGGGTTTTTATTGGCTTGTTTGACTATTGTGCCCTATGCCTCCTGGGGATGTGGCATAAATGGCTAAGCGCCACCCATTGGTCTGGACATTCGTTAACATTTACCCTATCGTTTGCCAGGAGTAACAAAAGGCAGGCTCCAAATGTTAATAATTGTGCAGACATTGCTAATCAATCCCAGAGGAACACCAGGCAGCTGGAGTCTAAGTCAGATGGTCAGAGGACCTTCTCTATGGGCCTTAGTCTGAACAAGGGGCCCTGGAAGTTCCCTTTGGTCTCCTCCATGTTCTAAGGACACACACACAGAGTGCTAACCCATAGTGATGCTTCAGGACACTTTCCCAGGGAGTCATCTTTACAAGAGCAGATCGCCAGGTCTTTTCTTCTGCAGAGCAGCTGTTGAGTTCCAACCACGGACCTTTCAGTCCGCAGGTGAGCACTTAAACCGGTGTGCCAATCCCGCCCATTGGGCCTGCGCACTCAGAGCCCCTCACAGGCTTTCTCTGCGCAGGGCAGTTTCAAGTCCCCATTAGGAGGATACCTGGAAGGAGTCGAGTGGAACTCCCTTCTCCCACCGCCGCTGTGAAGAGGGACCCTGGAGTCCAGGCCATTGTGGAGTGTTCTCAGGCCCGATGGGCCCCCTGAAGGGGTCACATCTGAGTCATCAGACCTAGCAGTAACTTTGGGAGGCTGACAGGCAGCTTGAGGAAACTGAGGCAGAGGAGGCAAATACCTATGAGGAAAGCAGAGCCAGAGGCCAGGCCTATAGTGCAACAGAAGCACTTTAGATTCAGACATATTTGTTTTATACGTATATATTGAGTCCTAACACATGCCTAGCAGCCATGGTGATTCAGTGCATTAAGCAGTGTGCTGCTAATCACAAGCTCAGCGGTTCAAATCCACCAACCACTCCTTGGGAGAACGATGAGGCTGGCTGCTCCAGTAAAGACTGACAACCTCAGAAACCCTTTGGGGCAGTCCTAGTCTGCCCTGTGGGGTCGGCGAGTGGTCTCTGCTGACAGCTGTGGGGTGGATACCACATAGATAGCTGCTGCCTAGTCAATTTAACAGGACTCTTTACACAACAGCATAGAACATGGTCCATTCCCACATCACCCTCACATTTGTCAGCATGTTCAAACCCACCCTTGTGACTCTGTGTCATTCCACCTCGATGAGGGTCTCCCAGGTCCCGGCAGACCCTCCACTTCACTATGCATGATGTCCTCCTCCAGGGACAGATCCCTCCTGGTGACGTGTCTGAAGGAAGCCAGTCGGATAATGTTGTGTTGTGCTCCGTAGGGTTTGTTTGGGCCTGTTTTTATTTAAGTTTTTGTCGTGAGTTGAGGGATAGTTTACATGGGAGAACATTGGTTTTATATTCATCATTTCATTGCAATGATTACAGTCTCCTCTGTGTATCACATTCAAAGTATTTGCTTTTATTTCCTCTATTTTGTTGGATTTTTTTGGGGGGAGGGGCATTTACACAAACAGGAATATATACTCATTTAAACAACCAAAGGAAACATTCTGCAAGCTTGCCTCCTGGCTGCCAGCACACAGCCTTTCTCTTTCCATGAGTCTAGAGTCCTCAGCTGCTCCCTCTTTCCACGTCCTCATCTCTGCCTGCATCTCTGGTGTCACTGCTTCTCTGGATAGGGTCCCAAGTTCCACTTGTGTGCTTCTCCCTTGATGGTCCTAGGGGCCTCTGTTTCTGGACTGTAAGATTAACTGCTACCCCCTTTTTGTTCAAAACTTCTGCCTTATACAGTTGTGACTGTCACCATTAATCATGATAACAATTTCTCACTATTGAATCATAAGAATCCCCATCTCTTTTCACCAGACTCGTCTAGACAACATGAAAACTATTCAGTAGGGATTCTATCTTCCCCCGCACACTGTGAAACTAAACTCCCTCATGAAAACTTGTAAGCCAGTCTCTTCAAGTGTCTTGGCCAGTTTTCTGGAAGTAGATCAGCAGGCCTTCCTTCTTCATTTCTCTTAGTCTGGAAGCACCAATAAAACCTGTCCACCATAAGCGACCCTACTGGTATTCTAAATAACTTCCAACAACAGGCCAGCCCTCAAGGATAACACACTGACCGACAGCCTAGAGTTGACTAAACTGATTGTGGGGAGCAGGAGAACGACAGAGGCGAGTTAGACCTGCACTCTTTTCCTTAAGGATCCGGCTGCAGAGTGTTGGCATTAAAGTCAATATTGTCTAAAGTATTTCCAGCCATCCATTTATTCATTCATTCAGCAAATACTTGTCATCACTCTCTGTGGGTGTTAGTTACAATAGTAAATAGCCGCTGACAGATACAGGTCTTATTCTCACGTGTGTTCATACGTGCTGTGTGAGAAGAGCAAGAGCCCAGGATGTGGGGGCTCAGTTTGGCTGGGACTGAGACAGGATGGAGAGTGAGAGAGTCTCAGGGCTTGAGTAGTAGCATGTCCCGAGGTGTGGCTCTCACACTTCAGTGAGCATCCAGGCCTGACGGGTCTCAGGTTCAGCGGGTCAGGGTGGGGCCCAGGAATGTGCATTTCTAACAAGGTGATGTCCAGGTTTCAGGTATGAGAAGTCTGGGACTTTCCTCTC